AGCTCACACTCTAAGTCGGGAAACTACATGTAAACAAGTATGTACAAACAAAAAGGTGAGAGAGAGAGAGAGACAGAGAGAGACATATATATATATATATATATATATATATATATATGCATATGCATATGCATGTGTGTACATTTATATTTATTATATTCATGAAAATGTATATTCTCTCTACATATATATGTATATGTATGTAGTTGTGTGCATGTGGAAATAACTTACATTCTACTGAGGGTTATAACCTGTATAGATTTAAATAAATGTGAAGTACAAAGTCCTTTCCAAAGGGAGAGTACAATAATAGCTAGGGAGATCTGAAAAATCTAATTATAGAAAATGGCATATGAGCCATGCTCTACAGGAAGCTAAGGTCTCCACAAGATCAAAATGTGAGGAAGTAGTGCATTCCCGGCATGAGGTTCTGCCTATGCAAAGATGTGTAGGTGGGAGGTGAAATTTACTATATTAATGATAATGGTCATGTTTCCTGTTACCTCAATAATACCCATATCCTGTGCTTGTCAAACACTTTGACTATAGGCTGAAGGAACTGTCATCCCTCCCAAAATGGGAAGTAGACTGAAATGATCATCTCTAGATCCCTTGGATAACTTTAAAAGAAAAGCCTTCCAGCCATCAGGGTCATTCACTTGTAAGCAGACTGGCTGGCTAGCAGTCCTACTTCTGCCTATCTGTGGCTACTGTGGCTGTTGTGGAATGTCCCACTGCCCACAGGGAATCCCAGGAGCACAGCCACTAATGACTGGTGAAATGATGCCCAAATGCCACCCTCCCTGGTTTTGAGGAGGCTGAGGTCTAAAGCTCAGGGACAGATATTAGAATGCATTAATGAACCCATGGGTCCCCTCTCAGTTACCTGAGCTCTCTCTAGGCAGCTTAGGCTAACAATGCATTTTACATGGCTTTCGTTTTTACCAGGCACTAGCATGGAATTAAAAAATGCTGCAAGACCCTTAAAAGCTATGCAAAGCAGTGCTGCTGGGCAGATGAGCCACTGGTTCTTTCAGATAGGATAGTGGATCTTTAAATCAGTGAAGATTCCTCTTCCTCCCCTCCTCCTTGATTTTGACCAAAATATTTATGAAAGGCAAAAGAGGTATGACTGTACCGTCTTGTATGTTTCACTGACTGCTTCTAAATCCCGACAGCAATGACAGAGCCCTCTATTTCTGGGTGCTAAAATTGGCAAGAGATGCGTACTGTATTTCCAGATAATACAGTAGTAAAACTCAGATTCAAGGGTTGTTAATCTCAAACATATTATGGGATTGCAGAGCAACTAAGGTACTGTGTCTCCATTTTAATTACTAGGGTTGGCAGAGGAATCCAATTATGTCTCTGTGTCCCCAATATAACCCTCTCTGTCTTTGTTTGCTATTCTCCTAGTCTGAGCATATTTTGATCACCTTTGTTATTTTCTAGTTTGCTAGTTTCTTCTATAGTAACTTGAAGGATATTTGAGAAGGTAATTCATGTATAAATACTTATTATACACTTGAGAGCCTAGCAATTTCAGTGTCATGGCTAAATTGTTTTAGCCTCTTCCTCCAGGAAAGCTGGGACTCTCATGTGTCAAATAAAGGTCAATACCTGGTGATGATGGTGTAGACAGTACAGTTTGACCTGTCCAGTTGTAGTAAGGTTTAGAGTATGTTATAATTGAAGTAAATACCCTATAAGAATCCTCTGTGGCATGACAACAGGACCAGACTTTCTGAAAACTAATTCAATCCAATTTTCTTCAACAAGCCTTTGGGAAACTGGAAATACAAAGACAAAAAGGAATAACTTCTTGTCCTCTTGCAGAATATAGTTTATGGAAGAGAAACGTGTACAGATGAGTAAAGACAAAATCTATTAGAAGTTATTTTGGCAGGGGTGGGGGTGGGCTTAATGAGAACTGGATGGGGAACCCAGTCAGGAGATGACTCGGAATCTGTGTCTTGAAGGGAACTGGGGATCCTAAGAGCCTTAGGGGAAGAAAGACAACGTGCCAGTCACAATAGACAGGCTATCCAAAGTCATCAAGCTGGGAGATGGAATGTTATATACAGGCTAGTTTGTCTGGAATATCTCAGAGAACATAGGAGGGAGTCACATTCTGCCCCTATCAAATACCTCTTAGCTCAGGATCTAGCCTAAACACCGTTGTTCCCTCATGAAAATGTTGATACTAATTTAACATCATGAAGACATGTGCTAGAAGTTGTATTTCCACTAGTTGTTACCAATAGGCACTGATTAGTAGATTAAAAACATGGGATTTGGGACACTTTAAATCCTGGCTCTACTACTTGCCAAATGTGTGACTGTGGGCAAGTCACTTAATTTTCCTGAGCCTCAGTTTCCTTATTTGCAAAACAAAGGTATTATTGTTTATACTACCTGCTTCATGGGATAGTTGTGAGTATAAAGCATTTTGAGATTATTAAGCACTGCATAATTATAAAGTATTATTGTATATTTTTCATCTGTGCCTGCTCAGGTATGTCCTTAGAAAGCTGACCGATGACTTCAGAGTCAGAAGAACCTGGCTTCTAGTCTGTCTGTGATACATACTGGCTGTGTGATCCTGGGCAAGTCGCTTAACTTCTCAGTGTCCCAAACAACTCTCTAAAGATAGAAGTTGCCAACCTGTGCTGGGAGAGGAAAATTCTTCTCCTGAGAATTCTGTATACCAACAGACTTCAGTTGCTATGCATAGACAGACATTTACATACATGCACATACACATACCATGTCCCAAAAATCTCAGTGCAGCTTTAAATTTTAATAGCTTCTAACTGCACTAAGACTTTTGGGACACCCAGTACATGATGGCTTCCTAAAGGTAAGCTTCATTAAGTGTTAAGCATATTTTCAGCATAATTATAATTCTGAATAAAATATAAAACCAAAAGTTATGATGTCCTGTATGAGTTCTGAAGAAGTAGATTTTTAAAAAACCTTACTCATATAGGGCAGCTAAGTGGCACAGTGGATAGAGGTCTGGCCTTGGAGTCAGGAGGACCTGAGTTCAAATCCGGCTTCAGACACTTGACACTTTCTAGCTGTGTGACCCTGGGCAACTCACTTAATCCTGATTGCCTCAGCAAAATTAAAAAAAAAATCTTAACTTGTAGAAAAGATGATTATTTCTTTGGGTTAATAAACTCCATGGCTCTGGGATCTCACTAAGTGTTGGTATTCCTTCTAATAATAATTCCATAGGGAGGCAGTGTCCTCTGCAACACAGAGTATCCAACTTTGATTTAGAAGAACCGTGTTCAAATCCTGCTATGTCATTATGGGAAAGTCACTTATTCCCTTTAATGCCTCAGTTTTATTAACTGCAAAATGGAGAATCTGATGTCTGTAGCAGGATTGTTGTGATGTTGAAATGAGGCCACAGAGGGAAAAGGCTTTTCAAACCTTAAGCACTATCCAGGTACTTAGTGTCATTAGATTACTCCCCACCCCACACATATAATGTTGCACCATTCCGAATCATCCTGTACACTCTGCTCCAATTTCTCCTCATATCTTCTAGTGAGCTCCACTAAGAGGCCTTCCTTTTCATCTCTTAACCTCCCAAATGAGATCGCTCATTCTCACCACTTTGCATTAACGACCTATGTCTTTTTCCAATCAAGCATTTTTTCTTTATTTTTTTTTTATTTTTTGGTGAGGCAATTGGGCTTAAGTGACTTTCTCAGGGTCACACAGTCAATCATTTTTTAATGATGACTTTTGCATGGTTCCTTGCCTACAATAGATGATTAGTGATATACTTCAACCCGTTTACATCCACCATACTTAACTTAATCATCCTTTTGATCACCTATAATACCTATTCTTCAGAAACTGCTGTATTACAGATGAACACTAACTTAGCTGTTGTTTTAAGATCCTAGATATAGATCCATAAGGGATCTCAGAAGTTATTTAGTCCATTTTACATATGAGGAAACTGATGGTGAGAGACATTAAGTGACTTGCCCCTGTCGCACAGGTACTAAGTGTCAGGCTTAGGATCTGAACTCAGTTCCTAAGAATTCAGTATCCTTTCCATTGCACCATGCTGCCTCTGTAATTGATGAACAGGTGCTTGCCAAATGCCTGCTGCGTGGCAAAGCATCTTCCTAGATTCCCTGGGGTCTCAGAAGAAGTACCCAACGTACTCTTTACTCCTTAGGCAGTTATAGTCTAGCTGAGGAAATCAGAGTTGTACACATAAAAATATAATGAACAACACAAGGCATTACATAATGGATGATAGAAACAAACAAAACAGATTATAAAAGATTAGGTGAGTGGGCCTTAAACTGGGTACTGAAACACAGATAACAATCAGGTAGATAGTAAAGAAAGGTCCAGAAACAGAAATTTAGGGGACATTAGATACATGAGCCAATTAAAACGGATTAGAAGGAGAAAAGATTGGAAAGGTTGTTTGGGTCATAGAGCAGAGAGCCTCTACTATCAGACTGGGGAGCCTGGACTTTATTGTGGTGGTGATGGGAACCACCGAAGGCTTTTGATTAGGGGCACAATATGATAAAAGAAGCCTTTTAGTGGGAAAAAAATGTGATGTTGGTAAAGCAGATGTATCAAAAAGCAGAAAGACTAGAAGACCAGAAGCAAAGAAATATTTTGTGGTCACATGTTATGTCCAAGCTCCTACCTTGATCTCTTAGGGGTTCCCCTATCTAATAGCAAGTTTGTGACCTTCTCTTCTTCCCTCAAAACTGACACCAAATTACAGCCCCATGGACAAGTCACCTGAAATCTCACATACCTTGGGCTGTGCCAACATTTCTTAAGAATTAATAACAAAAGTTATTAACAAATCATATTGATAATACCTTGAAGTTTTCTACTTTTCACTAAAACATTTTTAAACAGTTGGGGGGGGAGATAACGGATCAAATTCTTTTGCTATATTTTTTTAATTTTCATTCTTTATCCTTGGGCCTACTTTCTGTCTTTAGAACCAAAGTGCTTAATCCTCACAGCAGTGGTGATGAAGATGGATGGTGTGCTGTACCCAGCATGTGGAATAATATCACCAAAGCAACATCTGTCTGGCAATACTGTAACCATGGAAGAATTCCCCTGCATGCCCCGTGCCATAGGAAACATCCCCACATTGAGGACCCCAGGCACAATAGCATCACATACCCACAAGAAAAAACATTGCGAATGGGGGAACTTTGTTTATTTGCCCAGACATTTAAAATGGAGTGTGAAATGACATAGTGAGGATTAGGTATTTAAAACCAATGACAGATTTTACTACCCCCAAGTAAAACTGTCCCTTGTGCAAGAAACTTGAATATCATGGGTACAATAGATAACTTCTGAAATGTTTCCTATCTGCCAAAATGCTCCTTAACTTAATTTACAACAGATGGAAACAGTAAGGGGAAAAAATTGAACAAGAAAGGGAAGCTACAATGTCAAACTGTGCTTACAGTTGGGGAGAAAAATTGGCAGATATAAAATAAAAGATCTGAATGAAAGTCAAATCAGGTAGTAAAAATTAAGATGACTTAAGGAAGTCTTACAGTGATCATATCATTTTGTGGAGTTATCATGTTCCTTGATTTCATAATTATCTATTTCTTTGGATGAAATAAAATACTGCCCCTGTGACTTGGAGTCATTCTTTTATTTAAGACTGAAATTGTAAGATTTTTTTAGAATACCTTGCACTTGAGTTCCATTTATTCTACCTATGGTATTTCATTAGTTCTGACCATTTCAATCGCAAATTCTTTGAATTGCAGAATAAGACTCAATTGTGTTGCTATTTGGATTACTTCCAGAATTACTGCCTGGAGAATAGTGCATGGAATGACAAAATTGGCATGGGATGTGTTTTGTGTGGTCTTTTTCCTCCCAATAGCTACCTCTGTTGTCTTCTGTTAATGATAAATACAGGGGAATTACTAGAAATGTAATCTATAAGTTTTTATATTCAGACAGATTATATCTTGGCAAATTTAGCATTTATTTTTAGATATATACTGATGCTTTAGACATTGCAATAAGCAAGCTCTCATAGCTTATGATCAGTAATTGATGACAATAGAGAACTGGGAAAGGAAAGGAGAGAGAGAAAGATACAGAGAGAGAGAGAGAGAGAGAGAGAGAGAGAGAGAGAGAGAGAGAGAGAGAGAGAGAGAGAGAGAGAAAGATACAGAGAGAGAGAGAGAGAGAGAAAGATACAGAGAGAGAGAGAGAGAAAGATACAGAGAGAGAGAGAGAGAGAGAGAGAGAGAGAAGAGATGAAGGAGGGAGGGAGAGACAGAGACAATAGACAGATGGGTAGACATAGCTCTACCTCTATCCTCCTGTTCTTTTACTCTCTCCTCATTGTCAGTTCTATTCATCAGGCATGCTTACAATATGGACACAGATTTGCTGAGGACTCATATACCTGTTTACTTCTTCTCTGTCCTTTTTCACCTGGTACTTCAGGGTGTTTCCCTGTTGTCAACCATGAAGAGCCCAGATTGTTGATAAGATAATAGTACAATTATGTGGGTTGAACAGTCATACTGAAAGAGCGATGGATGATGTCTCTTGTAGTGTGCAGCAGCATTCTGTTCCCTGTCCCATTCTTTTTCGACAAGTTTTATCAAAGAATTTGCCATTCTTTTATCCCCAATGCTTAACATAGCACGTGGTACATAGTAATCACTTAATTGGATACATGTTGACTACCAAATGAAGAGGATGAAAGCATTGGTGATATGCTAATCATATTTTTAACATGAAAGGAAACTAGTTAGGAGAGCTAAATTACTGGGCTGAATGTCTAAATCAAAATACAAAATGAAGTTAACTGGCTAAGGCAATGAGCTAAATGAAACAAGATAGAATATAGTATTGGTAAGTGCAATGACCTACTCTTTAGTCCAAAAAACCAATTGTGCAACCGCATAGTGGAAGAGAAGTAACTAGATGATCACTCAAGTTAAAACACACACTCATAATACAGGATTTTTAACCGAAATCATTATATGAGAAGATAATAATAGCTGACATTCATACAGCATCTTCACTTTTGAAAAGAACTTTATACACACCTTATCTCTTCTGATTCTCATGAAAAACCTGAGCTACAAGGTAGTGTCATAATCCTTTTACAGATAAGAAAACTGAGGCTCAAAAAAGATTGTGATTAGCCCAGGATAACACAGAAAGTTAGGGTTTGAGAAGAGACTTGGATGACTCCCAGTAGAAGCTATCCCCTCCCCACCTCCATGGTATAATATGGCAGCAATAAACAAACAAATAAATAAATGATTGCATATATAAATGCGTTAATAAAAAAGTAAGTCTCAGGCTGAATTAGAACCAAGAAAATAATAATTATACTGTAATTCATACTATTTAGCATGTAGCCGGAATATCTTATTCAATTTGGTGAACCGTGGCTTAACAGGAATATTAAACAGCTGATGTGCCCATAGGAGGGAAAACCAAGATGAAACAGAGACTCAAACCTGTATGACATAATAATAGCTACCAAACATATAGCACTTTAAGGTTTTCAAGGTGCTTTAGGAATATCATCTCATTTTATCTTCTTAACAACCCTGGGAGGCACTTGCTCTTATCCCCATTTTACAGATCAGGAAACAGAAGCAGACAGATGTGAAGGTGCCCAAGGTCATAAAGCTCCTAAGTGTCTGGGTCTGGACTTAGACTTCCTGGCAAATGATCCAACATGCTACCTACGGTACCACTTATTTAGTAGTTAAGGAAACTGAGGACATTTAGTTGGAGGAAGAAAATTCTCAGAATGCTATTATTGATGCATTCAAATACATGACAAAGAAACAAAAGTGTGACTCCAGGAGGCAAAGGCAAGGCCAATGCCTACAAGTTATAGTTTTGTAACTAATGAAAAGCCCAAGAGATATAGTTTCTGGGTAATTAACAATCAACTTAGCATATAATCAACACATTGATGTCAGTGGTTTCTCTCAGCAACCAAAGACCCCAGGATAACATCCAGTGTTTAAATATCCTTGGCAGAGTGGATGGTCCCTACAGGTAGAAATCAATTCTGATTGGTTAACCATTGATGAATGAATTTTATAATGAGAGGTGTGTTTATTCTAATGGAGGCCTGAGGAAAGTGACTCTGATCAAAAAACTCTTAGAGAAAGAGATGTATCTCCACCTAGACCTCACCTGTGTCTAAAGCAGGGTAGGAAACCTGTGGCCTCTTCTAGGTCCATAGGTGTGGCCTTTTGTCTAAGTCCAAGTTTTATGGGACAAATCCTTTTATTAAGGGGATTTGTTCTGTGAAGTTTGGATTCAGTCAAAGGGCTGCACTTGAGGACCTAGGGAGCCACATATGGCCTTGAGGCAACAGGTTCCCCATACCTGCTCTAGTCAATCCAGGCATCTACACAAAGAGATCCACCTGCACCCCATACCACTTGAGTAGTTGAACAGCAGGCCAGCTTTCCCAGTTGGATAGGGTTCCACCCAAGAATGAGTATGTTAACCCAATCTCATCATCAGCCCTGTCCTTCAAGGGGTGCCTTGACCTAGCTTTTAAATGAGGAAATAGGGAAAAAACCCTGGATCTCCCTCATATTAGTAATGTGATATTAATAATCATTTCTCTCAGCATACTGATTCCCTGTTTCTTTTTTTTAACAACACAATCTAAATGGGTTAATTGAGATAAATTTTAGCTCTATACAGGTAAGACCATTTTTACAATTAGGGCTAGTCATTAAGGGAAGAAACAAATGGTTATATTTCTATGAATGGAAGCATTCAAGCAAAGGCTGGATTTTGTTTAATTGAGGATTTTTTAAAGGGAATTCATGCATTGGGTAAGGAGCTGGACAACAAGGCATCCAAAGTCTCTTACAAATCTAAGATCATATGATTCTGATTTTATGTTCTTTCAACATACCCAGTTGCTAATCCTACTTAATAAATATATTCATATATTCTTTAAAAATCTTCTAATTAGCTCATACATGAACAGTGTTATGTACTAAAGGACATAAAAGGTTTAAATAAGATATAACAAGCCCTGCTTTTAAGTAATTTATAATCTAGCAGAGACATGTGATATAGACACATAGCAATAAAACAAAATAACACTATAAACAACCTATCAAATAACCTTATAAAGCTACACGATTTCTTCTCAAGTCATGAATTGACAGCTCTCATTAACATTCTTAGTATTTTCTATTGCTCTCTTCCTTAAGACCCTGCCTTGTTCAATGACAAGGCAGGGTGAAAAATGGCTTGTGTGTGGGAATCAGGAAACATTTCACTTAAGTTACTCTTAATTTAATTTAACCCTTATTTAGTTACTAAATTCCAAATACCTAATCTAAATCCTACCCTTCCATTTCAAATTTGCATTCTTTTCTAAAAATCACGTATTTTTTCAAACAAATAGGAAGATTCTTATGTTTCTCCACTGCCTTCTATCCATTAACATATTATTTTCAGTATAAAATCATATTCTTTTAAAACTTTGTTTTTGTTGGTTAATACATACATTTTACAGTTAAGAACAGGTGTTAAACTCTGACATCTGGTACATCCATCAGAAGAGAATGTCCCTGAGGCATGCAGACAAGGGGATATCAATACACACTCACACAATGACATTTCAGTCAGATAACTGCCCTTATATCAGGACAGCAAATAAGAAAAATAGAAAGCATGAGCCAAGAGCACATAACACAAAATGAAATACATATGTACAGCCCCGCCATCATTTACAGAGGTTAGTGGCCTGATTCCATGGTGAAACTGAAGTCCACCTTAAAATGGAAAGATTTAACATTTAACAGCTAAGCACATAAAAAGGAATTCAGAACAGAAAAACCGACATCAATTGGAATGACCTTTCTCAGAGAGATCTTTTACAGATTTTCCTTCTAGCTCTCTCTTTTCTTCTGTGCTCTCCCCTAGACCTTTCTCTATAGAATATCGTCTCCCACCCCCCACTCTTCTCACAGATAACCCTTACTTTTGCCCTCTTTGCTCTTGCGATTCTGAAGCCACTATGGAAAACTTCAAGAATCATATTTTCGCTTTGGTTTTGAGGACTTCGAATTTCAGTTCTAGAATTCTCAGAATCATATGTGTCCTTCAAGTGAGTGTACCCAGCAGCTCTCAGGAAGTTGGTTCAAATGGGGGCAGCCTGGGAAGAGGCACAGTGAGGCCTGCCACAGTTCATGGATATCAGAGTCCTCAAACATCTTTTTTGTTCCTTTTCTTTAATGTTGTCCCTTCTACCCAGAAGGCCTATGGAGCCCATTCCATTCCCTTGCCAAAGGCCAAACTACGACTCGTTCTTACTGCAAATGGGAGGTGGAAAGAAGAAACTGAGACTGTATCACTTGTAACAGAAGGACAGTAGTTGTAAATCACATGATTAATGAGCACTTGGCTAATTATTAATTTATTTAAATTTAGTTAAAAATAGAAATCCCATAGTTCTACCTCTTTTTAAATAGTAAATGCTCAAAATAAAAAAAAAAAGATTTTAGCCAAGGCTGCCTCTAGC